GTCCCTACTTACCCTTCGTATGAGAGTCCTAGACCTGCCGTAACAAATTACCACAACAAAAGTTTATTCTCAAAGTTCTGGAGGCCAGAAGGCGTTGGCAGGGTTGATTCCTTCCGGAGGCTCAGAGGGAGAATGTTGTGTGCTTCTCTTCTAGTTTCTGGTGGTTGCTGGATATCCTTGGTGATCCTTGGATGGGAGATGGGTCACTCCAGCCTCTGCCTCTGTCTTTACGTGGCCTCTCCCCTGTGTGTCTTCACATGGCCCTCTTGTAAGGACACAAGCCATTGGATTGGGGTCCACCCTGATTTAGCATGACCTCATCTTAACTAATTATGTCTTCAGACACCTTTGCAAACTTTATAACATTCTGAGGTTTTGGGTGGACATGGATTTGGGGGGACGCTGTTCAACCCAGTACACCCTTCCAGCCTCAGCAATTTCTACTTCCTCACTCGCAGGTTTACTCATTTACTTTGGCACTCTGGATGGGTGAGAGTCCACCCGACAGGCAAGGAGGAGAGGGTTCAAGGCAGAGGAAAGAGGGTGTCCAAAGGGCCCCAGAGAAGGTGAAATATGGGCTAAGTCTTCACTTGATAAGGCTTTGTTTTAATTAATTGCCTCACTGCACTTTTTTTTTTTTTTGTCCTTTTTTTTTGAGACCAGCCACACTGCGCTCAGCCAGTGAGCGCTGTGAGCGCACCAGCCATCCCTATATAGGATCCAAACCCGCGGCGGGAGCGCTGCTGCGCTCCCAGTGCTGCACTCTCCCGAGTGTGCCACGGGCTCGGACCCTCACTGCACTTTAAGACATAGTCCAGGTGTTACCTCTTTTATGAAGCTTCCCTGACTCCCTAGGGACTTTTCTATCCCCTCAGTACTTAAAACTTACATATTTTGCAGCCATCACTTTTATGTTTTGATTATTTAACTATTAGCTTGTATTCCCACATGGCCTGTGTGATCTTGCGGCAGACTCTGAGTATGTAGTCCATGGGGCCTTGCATCCAGCCCACTGTCTGGCACATCCACAGCAGGTGCCAGGAAGTGTTTTTGAGTAAAGTTACCCAAATGCATTTAGTCCCAGAAGACGAGATCACATACATTTCAGGGGAGCAGTTGTTCAGTCCTGATTGGATAGTTCTTTGCCTTAGATGAGGAAGAGGGGATTTGATTTTTTTTGTTTGTTTTTGTTTGCTTTTTATTTTTTTTTCCTTTAAATTTTTATTTTGTCAATATACAATGTGGTTGGTTATTATGGCCCATCACCGAAACTTCCCTCCCTCCTCCCTCTCCCCCCTCCCACTCAAGAATGTCCTTTCCGTTTGCTTGTTGTAACAACTTCCAAAAAATTGTAGTTGTTATATCTTCTCCCTCCCCCAGTTTTTTTTCTCGTAATAACTT